TTTTCGAGGAATGGGATTGCAAAGAGGCCACCTGAGCAGTTGGCAGTGTGGGCCAGGTGCAAACAGTGCTCACCTTTGACCCAGCACTGACATGTATAGAAACCTATTCTAGAAATCAATCAGTCAAAAATGTACTGCAGTGGGAAGAATGTTTATTGTGACCTTGTTTAGTAGCCAAAAAACAAAGCAGAACCCCCAGACCTCCAATCGTGTGACCACACCCATACTCATTGAAAATGACACAGTAGATTTATGTTGACTGACATCAGAGATGTCTGAGGTAAGTTGTTAAATGGAAAAGAAGAGGACCGCATGGTCTCCTGTACAGCTCTGTGTGTGTGTGTGTGTGTGTGTGTGTGTGTAGAGACATCCGTGACATGTGTGCAGATGCCCGAACTGTGGGCAGGATGGCTGTGCTTCTGGGTACCTGCTTTACAACCTGTCCCAGTACAATAATTAGTAGCCTTCCTCCCCTTCTCTTTCAGAAGCTTCCTGCTTTGGGAGGTGAATTATATGTTCCCTCTAGTTAGGTGGTTTTTCACTTCCCTTTGTGTTTTCAGAAGGTTGGTTTGTTTTTTCCCCCCATTTAAATAATGAGCATGTATTACCTTTTAAAGTCAGTAAAAATTAAAAAGTATTTACATTTTGGGGTGGGTGGCCTCCTGTCCACCCAGAACCCTGCCTGCAGGCCCCAGTCCACTGCCAGATTTCTCTCTGGTTAGGAACTGAGGCAAAACTGAGCATGGGGAGTGGTATTCCAGGTCATTCTTAGCAAAAATATTGGCTCTGATTTGTGCGACCCTTTGTTTTTAAATCAGAAAATCTAAGCTTTCTCTTAAATACCAGAATATGTGGTACTGTCCAGTGACTCAGCCATTTATTCCTTTCCTCCCAACAGTAAAGGTTTGATAAGATACTGGGAATGATTTAGTAATAAGGGGAAATTGGTTGTCTCATAACTTGGGAAAGTTTCTCAGTTTGAAAAAATTATTTTGTGAAAAGCCCCACTATTAATCATTTAACATGCTGTTTTTCAGCCCACATTTACCTCTAATATGGTGTGAAGTATGAGGTTTGTACGCATAGACACACACACCCACCCACCCATGAGCAGGAATAGTAGGGAGAGAAGAACTAAAATAACATAAAAAGGCATCTGTCAGGGTGTATTAGTTTCCTGTTGCTGCTGTAACAAATGATCACAAAATTAGTGGCTAAAACAACAAGTTTTTCTCTCTTGGTCCGGAGGCCAGAAGTCTGAAGTCTGGGTGTGGGCAGCGCTGCGCTTGGCCTCTTCCACCTCCTGGTGGCTGTTGGCCTCCCTCGACTGGGGCTGCACCGTGTCAGTCTCTGCCTCCTCTTCCTGTCTTCTTCTCTGCTGACTCTTGTAAAGACACTGTCATTGGATATAGCTCGCCAACCCCCCACCCCTACCCGATAATCTCATTTCATGATCTTCCCCTGACTTAATGATATCTGCAAAGACCCTTTTTCCAAATAAGGTAACATTCATAGCTTCTGGTGACTAGGACTTGGACATACCTTTTTGGAGGTCACCATTCAACCCACTACACAGAGTCATCTAATTAACTCTGAGATAAACAGAGAAAGTGGGATGTGGTCACAGTTAAGTGTGGCCCTGTATTTCTCCCACACGGTAAAACCGAATTCCTTACTGTACTGTGTTTCCAGGCGAGGGCTGAGTGGTGCTTTCTGAGTCATTCCATGTGGATCTGTAATAAATGAAATGGACTCTGGTTCAAATCCACAAATGATTATTTTATTATTAATTGCCAGGTAAGAACGTAAAATACTTTCCGCAGTTCCTGTCTGAGTAGTGCTTGTCCGACAGGGGGAACTTGGAGAGAAGCTGGCAGTCACTTTCCCTGGCTGCCACTCAGCAGCCGGGAGGCCTGTTCTCAGCGGGGGGCCTGTTCCCTTCCCTTTACCACGTGGACCAGTGCTGCACCTCCCTCAGCAGGTCGTGGGGTGATGTAAAGTGTGGAGGGTGATGACAGCGCCTGGTCGCCTCCCAGTGACTGTCGCTGCTGCTCTTTCTCTGGATGGAAAGAAAGGTTAATCCTTGATTCGGAGGCTCCTTTTCTCCAAAGAGAGTGCCTCTCAGAGATAAGAAGGGTTTGGTGGCTTATTCTGCAGTTTTCTTTGCTCTCCTTTTCCACATTTGGGCCTTATCACAACAGAATCAGGAACCCGAGAATTTTGATTGAAAACGATCACTTTTTCTAATGAGGTTTGCCTTAAGTAACATCATTGATTTTAAGAGAACTTTCCTTAGTTTTAGACATTTTTAAAGTACTTTAAGTATTCAGATTAATCAGATCTAAAACATTAGGTAGGGGCTCTTAGATCATTTTTCTTGTTTTTAGGGCCACGTTGAGTGCCCACCAAGGCGCGTTCAAGCAGACCATCCCTGTCTAACCTCTGGCCCCTTCCTCCAGCTCATCCTCCAGAAGGATGTTTAATCAGTATTCCCGAGTCTCAGCTTTGGTGCAGCTCCTCCTTCCCCAGCTCAAGAGCATTCAGTGGTTCCCTCCAGTAACCAAGTAGACTGCTGGTTTCTTGCCCTCAGTTTTGCTTCCAGCGAAGCCCTTCCAGCCTGACTGCCACCTGCTCCCTCTGCGCACGTGCCATGTACTGCGGTCCAGTTCCCTCTTCTGACTTGTCTCCTCTCTTTTCCCCCATTGAGCTCCTTCTTCCCAACTCACCGCACTTTGCTTCTGTCCCTCCTCTGAGGCCACATTTGGCGCCGTATTTTTGCATGCTTGTTCTTCTTTCCCTGGGATGTTATTAATTGGTACCAGATAAGGGCTCCTGTCATTGGTCAGTTTATCCCTTGCAGAGTCTAACACAGTCTGAGCGTACTACATGTGTATTTGAAAGGTGGAAGGAAAGTGAGGGGAGAATGGGGGTGAGGGGAAGGAAGGTGGAAGGGAGCAAGTTTGCTTCCTTTCCCTTCCTGTGCTGTTAATTCATAATGGAATGAGAATTTGGGTCAATGGCATGAAACACAGCTCGCTTTTATCATTAAGGTGTATTCTGTACTTGAAGTCTCTCTCTCTCTTTCCCACCCCCACCTGGGAAGGTGTGCCACGGCATCACCGGGGTGAAATCTGGAAATTCCTCGCGGAGCAACACCACCTGAAGCACCAGTTTCCCAGCAAACAGCAGCCGAAGGACACACCATACAAAGAGCTCTTAAAACAGCTCACCTCCCAGCAGCACGCGATTCTCATCGACCTCGGTGAGTCTGCAGTCGATTTAACATGAAAATGGAAGTTTTCACTCACTTGAGAAATCTGGAGAGGCCGTCCAAGTTATTTAGTGATCTGTCTTTAGGTTTAGCGATCAAAATTTACTACTGAGACTTTTAATCAACAAAGCCCTAGAGTAATCACAAATGTCTGCTTCAGATGTATAAAAATCCCTCTCTGAACTGGGCAGCTTGTTAACTCTGGTCAGCCCTGGGGCAGGGGGCAGGGAGGGTCGCAGAGGCTCCAGTTGTGACCGTTGTTGAGTTCAGTAATTCAGATATTGATAGGAGGTTTGTAGTCAACAGAAGAAACATCCTGGAAACCGCAAGTGTCAGGGCTGCAGCTGCGTTTAATTATAGGAGGCACCCCTTAGTCTATGGCTTACAAACAGGATTTACTAGAAAAATTGTAGAAAGCAGTTTGTGTGTATACCTTGGGTGATTTTATTTTGCAAATAGGCAGGAATCTTGTCTCTTAAACAGTTTTAAAAACGCTAAGGTGAAAACTGTATTGAGTACACTTGCGGTTAGCACGGTGAAGAGCTTGTGGAATCAGGATGTGATCACAATGCACAAGACCTGTCAGTGGCCCCACGTGGGGACTTCCTTTCCTCCTGCTGCCTCTCACCGGGGCCTCTGTCCCCTGGGGAAGTCCACTGGCTTCGTGTGACAGGAGCTCGGCCCTGGTACTTCTAGAGCACGTGGTCCTGCTTCCAGAACACCCACCCCAGCCAGTGCTTTGGGCCCCACGGAGGCCAGGCTCTTTGAGTTCCCCCCGCACAGCATCCTGGAGGGAGAGAGGACTTTACAGTCACTCGAGGTGTGAGGGTGAGCCGGAGCGGGCAGCTCCCAGGCCTCTCTCCCCAGGCCTGAGCTTAAATGTCCCCCTGAGAAACTGGCCCTGACATGGCCCCTTCTCCCACCTGCGGCTGCATTCGATGACTCTGCTCAGCCTTTCTGTCCCACCCTGTACGCTCCCCTCGTGATACCACGTTTATCATTATGACAATTATTGCTATTTAAAGCTAATACTTAACTTTTCCTTGGGCCAAATGTGCGAGGTTACTTAAACTTCTTTATTTAATCCTCACAACATGATCAGGGAAGTATCGTTCTATCCTTAGTTAGAGTTGAGAATAGTGAAATGCAGAGAGGTTAGGAAATACCTGAAGTGACACAGCTGTTGTTCTGCCGTGCAGTGTGACTCCAGGCCTCCGCTCCCCCTATCGCCCCCCATCACTGTCCTCAGTTATGTGACAGAGCCTTTTTATGGCCTTTCTCCCCAATAGGATGTAGCTCTCCCTCTGTGGGCTGGTCCAAGGCTGTTTGTAGCTGTACCCCAGCTCCTGGGACAGAACCCATCGTGTAGTAGGTGCTCAGTAAGTCTCTTGGTGTTGAATATGAGGCAGGCACTAGCATCCCAACCTCACGCGAACCTCGCAACAGCCCTGGGAAATTGGACCTGTATCCTTTTTAAGAAATGAGGATGCTCTCTGAGGCATGAGAGGTCAACTGTGGACCACGGTCACACGGCTAACTGCCAGGACCTGAGCCCACTCTGGCTCTGGGCTGCTATAGACCCTTCCATTCCTCAGGCCCTCTGCACCAGGAGCCCCAGTGTCCCTAGGAGATGGCCGGCTGGGTGACGGGTGATGCAGACAGGCCATGATTGCACCCTGGGGACGGTGAAAATGTGAGGTCTGGGGCTGGGGCCCATTTGGCCCGCTGACCCTGAGGAAAGCAGTTTTATGGACTGGCAGTAGCTGTGTTTGCTAATGTGATGAGTAACAGGAAAAATGACATCATGTTCCTACCATGTGAAATGAAGAGAAAAATAAATTGAGAGTAGGAGGCTGAACGGGCGGAGGGGGTACGGACAGTTTCTCCGCACACCCCCTCCCGGGGAGGGGAGGGGACATGTTCCCCCTCCTGATTCAGACGTTCTCCTCTCTCCATTTTTCTTTCAGTAAGTACTCTTGTCATTGGGCGGGATGTGTCCTCTGCCCCTGGAGCTCAGACACAGTCACTTTTCTGCAGAGGGAAGAAAAGGCCAGATGAGGCAAGGGCCTCAGCGAGGCTGCTCGGGGAGCTGTGTCTGTGCGGCCGCACCTCGGGTGCCTCCCTGCCCAGAGGCCCGCGGCAGCCTCTCCTCTAGTTGGCATGGGGTGTGTGCAAGCTGAGATTTGGCCTTCCCTCCTCCTGGGCTGGGCCGGGCTGCGCTCACATCCTGTTCGCCCCCGCCCATCTCCCACATTCACGCTCTGCACCCCCAAAGGCCAGGTGTACCCTCTCCTCCCCAGCAACACCAGCCTCGTCTCTCCACCTGGCTTCTCTCCAGTCATGGTCCCAGTGTGGATGCCCGCTCTGTGCCCTCCCAGGGCCCCAGAGAGGCTGTTGCCTAGGTAACCGCCCTGCCTGTGTCCAGGCATCCTTCAGGCCCAGCCTTCTCTCCCCACTTGAACTGGGAGAACCTGAGTGTTGGCCCAGCCCAGCAGTGGGCCCTGCGCCCTGCCTGCCAGGATCTGGCGCTGCTTGGCCAGGTTCAGGGAAGCCTCACTTAGAAGTTCCTCCAGACTTTGCCCATTACTTCCCCCTCACCTCGCACCAAGGTGGTATTGCCAAGTCAGTTGTTTTGTCTACGCTTTTTAGCCTACACTGTGGCTCACTCAAGGCCCAACAGAGGTGTGCAGGGCAGAGCAAAAACCAATCATGTTTCAGTGTTTCCTAAAAAGTGACATCATATCCTGGCCAGCAGAACAGAATGCTTGTTGGTTGGATGTATTTTGGGTTTTCATGCGTGTTTATATTCCTGCCTTTTGCTTTACTTTCTGAAATTAGCTGTTAATCTAATCCGTTCTGCGAGATTTTTTTTCCTCCAAAGAGCAAGAATACACTAGGCTTTGTAGTTGGACAGTGAACCATATTCTCTAGCTTTGTTGGATTTCAACTTTGCACAGCCCTGTTTGATCTTGGACACATATTATTTCCACTTTGGAGGTGATGAATGAGGCCCAGAGAGCTTGTGTGCTTTGCCCAAGTTACAGGCCCCTGCTCAGTGGCAGGAAGCTCTAGACCTGGGTCTTCCTAGTCTTTGTATCATGTTCCTTCTAGGACGCCAAATGGCTTGTCTTTCTTGGCCCTGCCGGCTGCAGACCCACACCGCTTTCCCTTCTCCGGTGAGGTGGAGAAATGCCGTCAGAGTTGGCCACGCCCAGCCAGGGGAAAACAGCAGAGGAGATGACACTTAGCAGATCACACTTAGGCCCTAGTTCGGGAACCTCCCCCTTCCCACCTTGTGCCGCCCTCAGGTACTTGTGATCTTTCTTCCTTCTCTTTTCTTGCTCACCCTCCTGGCGGGGCGCCCAGTGCTGCCCAGCATCCTGCCTTGTGGCTATGCCTCCGTCTAGTCATGGCCACATGAAAGGCCGTGGGGAACACTGAGCAGCGAGCTGGAGACCCTGTTCAGGCTCCACGTCACCCTCCACTGTGTCAGCTGCTCCTCTCCTGGTAATCCTGCAGACAGTGCTTCCCCGGGGAGGCTGCCCAGCCTCCCCCATGATAGGAGAGGTTAGCTAGAATAACCCTTGAATGGGTCCAGAAATGTAGAGACACCATTAAATCAGAGAGCAGACTTAGAAAGTGCTCCTAATCAGCCCCACATCAATTACGTATCGTTCTAATGTGTTCTCTAGGTAAAGTGGTGGCTTAGTTTACAAACCCTGCAGAGGTCTGATGGGTCTTTTGGTGACCAGAAGTAGCCATTTTTGGTGGCCTTCTAGAGACTTGCTGTCAGTGGCACTGAAGTGGGATTGGGCACGCCAAGGCTGCAGTGAGACAGAGCACGTATCCAAAAACACATCTGGGTCAAGAATCCAGCGTGGCTGCTGTTGTATTGGTTTTTGCTTCCACTTAACGTATTTTAACCAAAGGTATAAAACCTACCTGGTGTCTGGAAGAACAGGAGCTATAATCCAAGTATTATAAAAGGGAATCTTTCCTTGCTGTTTTAGAATCCTTAAAAGGTGAGGAGAAGAGCTGGCAAATTGAAGGATCAGCTGAGAATATTTAAGGTGACTGACTACGGAAGGGCGGAGGAGAGCGCCTCCCTCCTCCGTCCCTGCCTGCTCGTTTGCCATGAGGAGCGGGGTGCCGTGTGCTTTGAGTAGTAGATGGTGCTGTTCATTATGAGCAGATGAGTGCTGGTGGCAAGCACCGCTTTCTGTTTCATCTTTGGCTTGAAGTCCTGGGTGAAAAACTAAGAAGCATTAATGGCAAAAGAGAGAAAAGTACCTAGCACTTGCCATGCAGCAGTCTTGTTATGGGACACACCTGTCTGTCCAGTTGGGACCTTGCCTTATGGGAGTCAGTTAAAAATCATGGCTCAAGAGTCTAATTAAAGTTTTTGTGCCAGAAGCTACACAGCTGATTCCACAGGGTCTGCCATTGCCTCTGATATCAAGAACCCATCATGATATCAAATTTATTTGATCATTCTAAAAATCTTCTCTAACCTTGAAGTTATATAACTAAACACAGGTGGTGAAAGAGTAAAGTAGGGTGACCTCGCTTGCTTTCTGAGAGGCCTAACCTCTCCCTACGTCTTTCCAGCCAGTCAGGGGTGTGCTGGCAAATACCAACCAGCTCAACCCCTCAAAAGAAGCTGATGCCAATTTTTGCAGATTTCCATGGTGTAAATACTCTCACTTTGGCTGAACTGAAGCTACCAATATGATGTGGAGTTGAGCAGAGATGTGAACAGGCCAGTAGGAGCCAGTTTCAGCAGCCACTTGACTCAGCCAAGTGTTTCTGAAAAGTAACCTGCGTCTAGGGAAGCTCTGCCTTCCTCCTCCCCGGCTCCCCAGCCCCACATCACTCAGTGGTGACCCGCGGATCCTTCCTGAGCCCCTGGTGCATCCGGGCACTCTAGCAAGCACGTATTCTAGTGTGGGAGACAGACACTGAACAATTGATCACCAAACTATTTAATTAAA